CCCTCCCGGAAGACTGTCCTGGTTCCGCCTATGGATCTTCGCCACTTCATTACTCAGTTGACTCAGTAGACCATACTTTCCTATTCTTGGCTTTTTTCTTCTTGACTTGGGTATTGCTGGGTGTCTGTTGGTGGCGTTGGCGAAAAGAAGTGCAACTTCCTGGATGACCGTCGATAAAAATGCTCTTTGGTAACAAGCCGCCCAAGAGAGAAAGTCCTGGCAAAGCCATCAGTTGCATTTTGTGGAAATCCACCGTAAACTGTGGGGCACAGTATGGAAAACCTAGGTAAATATGTTAATACAGACAAATCGAATGCATTATCCTTTTTGACTTACTCCTTGATTTCTGTCATAACAATTGAGTGCAAGTCCATTTTGCTAAAAATTATCAGCGAGTCATAAACTCGTTTTTCAGATTCAATTTGAAGCCAGGCCAGTTTCTGCATGACGCAGATGTGTCGGAGCCTTTGACCAGTTTCACACGTCGTGTTTGTTCAATGTCGGTTTACAGCCTATTCTTCGATTATGCCACAGTTATTTCCAAGGACAATAAGGACTTAGCCACGGTGTGCGACCAACATCCTACACTGAACCGACACCGAGATATCCGCTGCATCGATCACACACGAGTCATAGTCCCGTCAGTTTTGCTCCACCTTTATCGTCAAAATCTATTTTCTACTTCAAAATCTCACATCAGATGTTGTAGCAGTTGATGATTTCATTTGAGGCATCCGTCTGAGCCACACGACTACATCAACGCCAATTATGTTGATGGATTTCGAGAGGAGAAAAAATTTATCCTAACGCAATCACCTTTGGAGGAAACCGTGCAGTCTTTTTGGGCGATGATTTATCAGGAAAAAGTTGTCGAAATCGTAGCGCTAACACCACTGCATCCAAAGAAGTCTTTCCTGTACATTCCAACCAAACGAACTATGCCTGTTACATTCGGACCTTTTACGATTCAGTTCTGCGGATCGCAGATAATCCGTGATGCTTACGAAGCTTCTATACTCAAGGTTTTTTTCTGCATTTTAGCACAAATGTGGTGAGCAGCTAGAGCAAAAATAACTCATTTTTAATCGTTCGTTACGAAACCCCATTCTCTGTTTTTCTGTGCTGAAAATACAAATGACTAGGCACTTGAATTTTTAGTTGAAGAAGGAGAAAGAAAAGGAACGAAAAATTCTTCATATATGTTTCTTTTCGTGGCAAAACATGGGCACGCCAACCAAGCCAACTGAACTGATTTATTTGGCGACCGATATAAATTTCAATCGCAAACTGTTCATGGAAGAAGCGGAAAGAAGCGGCTGGCTGCAGGGCGCACAGTATTGCTTGCATTTGTTTCACAGTTAACA